TTATTTAATTCTAACACATAAGTTCCTGTTAAAAACTAACCAAAATTAAAAATAATTATATATCGGTATCGGCATCGGCATCGGCTATCGGCCAAAATGGGTTGAAAATTATCGGCATATTGAATATCTGCAAAAATTCAATATCGTGCATCCCTACGGATTAGTTTTGTTTTTGATGGTAACCTGCCACCAATTACACAAAAAAAATGGAAGAGAAGGGTGGGGTGAGCAGTAGCTCATTATCATTTTGAAGAGACATGCACCGAAACGGCTCGCTGTGAACTGAGCTGTTTTTGATAAGGTAAAAGGGTGTTGTTTTACATGACCTTTGAGGAATTTTAACCAAAGTATGTTGCAGACATTTCATGAAGACCCTAAAGAATCATACCAACTTGTGGAAAATGGGCATCTGACGTCCCCTTTAATGTGTACAGACTAGAATCAGAAGACGTTTTCTTTTTTTCTTTTTTTTCAATTTATTTTTAAGTATTAATTGATATTTAAAATAATAATCTTTAGATTACATTTTAGTAATCTAATAAATAGATTTTTATTTGATTTATTTTATTTCGTTCTGTCCTTTGTTTCCACAGAAGAATGAAAGTTACATTTGAACGATGTGAAGGTGAGTAAATGATGAGAAAATATTCATTTGAACAATACCTTTCCAAGATGAACAACTTTAAAAGTTTATCAAATGTAAAATACTGTAATTTCAACCATTTAAAAAAAAAAAAATTGCACTACATGGCCTGTTGTGGACTTTTAGCACTGTCGTAGTCATGCTAGCTGTTAATAATAGTGTTCCGTAATTATAGATCTTTATTTATAGATCTGCAGAACACTGTGACCTTCTAAGGATTGTTTTACGAGGCTTTGTTTTTCTGCTTCATGTCATTACATGGCCTACTGGTGTCGAGCTCCAGACGACATCTTTGTCACTATTTTCAGCGTGTGTGAGAATGTAAAGGTGTGTGAGCAGCCAGACAGGTTGTTGAATGTGGCCGTGACCCTTTTCTATTCACCGGTTATATATCCCTCATAATTACTCCAGCGGATGATGCCATCACTTAACTTTCCGAACTGCGTGTTAATCCATATCTGCACTAGTGATACATGAGGGATTATGCAAAATTAATTAATTGACTGCTCTTGCACTTTACGTAAATGAGAAACGTGACGTTATGCTGAAAGTTGCCGAGAGGAACTCAATTCCCCCAGTGCACTCAGTATACTTGTGTCTGGGTTTGACTCGCCTTTCCTTCACAGTAGAGTCATAAACAGTCTGGATTTCTTCCTCTGAGATTTTAACGTGGCCTAGTGCTTAATAGCTTTGTCATAAGTGTATACTGATATTTGACAGCTTCACTCCAGTACATTTTAGACAGCTCCACTGTTGTGTTGTGCCTCGTTCACACTAAGAGCAAATATATGTATAGTCACATTAGTGACATTTTGGCAAAGATTTGTGCGCAAAAAAATTCCATTGTCTATTGCAATTACATCACCCATGATTCTGTACAGAAAATTCTAACAGTCAAATTGCACGAAAGGAGCTCTGCCCACTCCCATGAAGCACACAAATAACATAATATACATATTGTTTCTATAGATATAATCAACAACTTTAAACAAACAGTTGTATATTTTATCATCCTTTTTAATTTTGAATTACCTCATTTGCAATGCTTCATAGGATTGTAGTTCTTTCCTTTGCTAAAACCGTTAACAACACAGACACAGAACCAACTGCAAATACAACAAATACTTTCAGAACTAACACCACTAAAAAAGTGGATGGGCATTAATGCAAATATTGTGCTCTGAAATCTCCAGCTGTCATTGAAAATTAATAATATTTGGATGCTTAGATTGAAACAAGGATGTTGTAAGATGAAACAAGTGTTTCCATTCAGTGTTTCTATTCTAGTGTGTCCATTCGTGTTGTTTTGTGGGTGTGGTTCTGAAGGCCACATACTCCTCAGAGTAACTTTTATGAAATTAATTAAAATACATATACAGTCTTTATAAGCCCTGCTCAGATTTCATTCATATATTTTAAAGACTTTTTTTAAAAATCTCTCTCTATCTCTCATATGCTTTTTATTATTATTTTGTTGACCTGGTGTTTGGAGCTAATGAAAAAAATGGTCAGACTGACTCAAATAAATGATGAATGGTGCTGAAGCTCAAGTAAACAAACAACCCACTCTGCTTTAATTTAACAAAACAAAACAGACACTTAAGCTGGACTAGCTAAATAGAGCAACCTTTTTCTTATATAACAATAACCATAAAGCTACATATTTGATGTGTCAGAGCAATGGTAAGGAAGTAGCCTGAACACTCACAACATAAAAGGCCCGTTTGAATCCAGATATGTAATTTTCTGTTCCTGTATTTTCATTCTCTGCAGCCTTATTTCTATTTTCATATGATGTTAAAACATAACCCAAAACATATTACATAGGCCTATTAATTAACTCTAATACTCACCAAGCATTTATTTGATCAAAAATACAGTAAACATTTATATTGTGAAACAGCATTACAATTGAATCTATTTTAATTTAAAATTAGAATGATTTAAATTATTTTACATGATATTAAAATGTAATTTTAAAATGTAATTTATTCACGTGATTGCAAAGCTGTATTTTCAGCAGCCATTACTCCAGTCTTGAGTGTCACACGATCATTCAGAAATCATTCTAATATGCTCATTTGCTGCCCAAGAAACATTTCATATTATTATCATTGTTGACAACAGTCATGCTGGTTACGCTTTTGTGGATAATGTGAAGCATTTTTTCATTTTTTAATAGATTAAAAGTTAGAAAGAAAAGCATTTATTTCACATTGAAATTTATAGATATAATCAACAACTTTAAACAAACAGTTGTATATTTTATCATCCTTTTTAATTTAGAATTACCTCATTTGCAATGCTTCATAGGATTGTAGTTCTTTCCTTTGCTAAAACCGTTAACAACACAGACACAGAACCAACTACAAATACAACAAATACTTTCAGAACTAACACCACTAAAAAAGTGGATGGGCATTAATGCAAATATTGTGCTCTGAAATCTCCAGCTGTCATTGAAAATTAATAATATTTGGATGCTTAGATTGAAACAAGGATGTTGTAAGATGAAACAAGTGTTTCCATTCAGTGTTTCTATTCTAGTGTGTCCATTCGTGTTGTTTTGTGGGTGTGGTTCTGAAGGCCACATACTCCTCAGAGTAACTTTTATGAAATTAATTAAAATACATATACAGTCTTTATAAGCCCTGCTCAGATTTCATTCATATATTTTAAAGACTTTTTTTAAAAATCTCTCTCTATCTCTCATATGCTTTTTATTATTATTTTGTTGACCTGGTGTTTGGAGCTAATGAAAAAAATGGTCAGACTGACTCAAATAAATGATGAATGGTGCTGAAGCTCAAGTAAACAAACAACCCACTCTGCTTTAATTTAACAAAACAAAACAGACACTTAAGCTGGACTAGCTAAATAGAGCAACCTTTTTCTTATATAACAATAACCATAAAGCTACATATTTGATGTGTCAGAGCAATGGTAAGGAAGTAGCCTGAACACTCACAACATAAAAGGCCCGTTTGAATCCAGATATGTAATTTTCTGTTCCTGTATTTTCATTCTCTGCAGCCTTATTTCTATTTTCATATGATGTTAAAACATAACCCAAAACATATTACATAGGCCTATTAATTAACTCTAATACTCACCAAGCATTTATTTGATCAAAAATACAGTAAACATTTATATTGTGAAACAGCATTACAATTGAATCTATTTTAATTTAAAATTAGAATGATTTAAATTATTTTACATGATATTAAAATGTAATTTTAAAATGTAATTTATTCACGTGATTGCAAAGCTGTATTTTCAGCAGCCATTACTCCAGTCTTGAGTGTCACACGATCATTCAGAAATCATTCTAATATGCTCATTTGCTGCCCAAGAAACATTTCATATTATTATCATTGTTGACAACAGTCATGCTGGTTACGCTTTTGTGGATAATGTGAAGCATTTTTTTCATTTTTTAATAGATTAAAAGTTAGAAAGAAAAGCATTTATTTCAAATTGAAATTTCTTTTAAACATTAAAAATATCTACTGTCAATTTTGATAGTATTTGATCAATTTTATGTGTCCTTGCTGACTGAAAGTATATTAATTTATTTGAAATAGAATAGAAATGTGTGTGAGTGTGTGTGTGTGTATATATATATGCATGAATACTTTATAAATAGGGTTATAAAGTATTCCACTGTTCACTGTTTGGAACTGGGCACTAAAATACATTTTATTTTGTGATACTTAGTGTGACTTTACCATATATTTCCTTTTTAATGGATATTTGCTGTGTGCAATAAATAGCAATATGTCACTCATCTTACGTGGATTTATTTGAACAGAAAACCAGAAAAATTTAGGTCACAGAATTTGTTTTTCTCTCTGCATCTTCATGTGCTCAGAGTCAGCGTGGTCCCTGCATCAATAGATGCCACGCATGTAGGCTTTTGTGAATCTTGAAAATGATGTCATCGCTCTCCTAGCAACTGCTTAGCAACCAGTCTTGGAGAGCACCCAGAGCTGGAATCCCTTTAATGCGACTGGGTTTCTGCAGTCGCCCTCTCAAGATCGAAACGGAAATGTGACATTGTCGTGTAATTCTCCCTCTTATTCCTTGAAAAGGTCAATAGTGCTTTTTTTTGTTAGCACACTTTTGTATTTCATTCTAAATGATTGAAAGCATTTAAGCAGATTGTGTTTATATTTTTTCATGTGCTCATACTTGAAGTTTAAAATGACTCATTGGAGCACAATTTCATGATCTATTTGTGTTACCACAGCTTTGAACATGCACTTTCAGTGTTTTCACCTGCCCATACTGTATGTGTCTCATGTGTGTGTCTGTGTGAATTAACACGCTCTGTCTTTGTGGTATTGGTGTCTTCTAGGCTCATGTGGTTCAGCGCTGGCTTGTGCATCAGGACAGTAGTTTGAGTGGAGAGGGTTCGTCGGAGGCTCAAGGTGGAAAATGGCACTTTGATGGAAGAGTAAATATCTTAGTACTGCCTCTCAACACTTTACTTTCCTCTTTCCTGACAAATCGTGTGTGTTGGTGTGGCTTCTTAATCATTTCTGTCTGTGGTACTCTTGTGGTTGTTGTGGATCTGGTGGCAGGTCTTGTGATTGAATGTCGTGATGTGGCTAATAACAGTTAGCTTCGCTAGTGTTCCTGTAGTGTTTCTTCATAATTCTCTCATTCTTAATGGCTCTTATTGTGTTTTATGTGTGTGACTTTATTCATATTCCTAACATGAGATTCTGTGTTTAAGTGCGTGTTTTTGTTTGTTTATCAGATGGTTTTTGCGGTAAAAGCTTGTTCAGGGATCGTCTCCTGCTGTGGCTTCTGATTGCTGATATCTGTCAGAATGTCACTTACACTATCTGCAGATGTACTGTAGAGATTACAAAGTCAAACAGTAAAAATGAGCGCAAGTCAGTATACACAAACACATGAATGCACGTACAAACTGATATACAAATCTTCATTAAAACATTTATGTTTTGAAATTTTTTAAAACACGGTGATAAATTTGCAACCTGCTGTTCATTGCATTTGTGCAATGAGTGGACAAAGATGTTATTAAAATGATGACAATTAATATAATAATTATATACTGTATATATATATATATATATTTAAATATAAAATATGTATTTAAATATAAAATATTTACAAAAAAAAATCTTACAGACCCCAAACATTTCAAATGTTTGGGGTCTGTAAGATTTTTTTTTAGTAAATATTTTAAATTCAGTTATTACATTTAATTAAAAAAGCTATACTTTTATTTAGCAAGGATGTATTAAATTAAATAAAAAAGTGATATTTATAATGTTACAGAAGATTTCTATTTCAAAATAAGACTGTTCTTTTTTCTATTATTCCAAGAATCGAAAAAAAAATGCATTGCAGTTTCCATAAATAAATAAATAAATATTAAACAACACAACTGTTTTCAACATTGATAATAACAAGAAATGTTTCTTGAGCACCCAGAAAGGAAGAAGGTTCATGTGGCATTGAAGACTGGAGTAATTGCTGCTGAGAATTCAGCTTTGCAATCACAGGAATAAATTACATTTTAAAATATATTAAAATAGAAAACATTTATTTAAAACTGTAATAATATTTCACAATATTAATGTTTTAATATATTTTTGATGCATACATGCAGCCTCAAGTGACATAAGCGCATAGCACATAAGTGACTTCTTTCAAAAAACGTAAAAAAATCTTACCAACTCCAAACTTCTGAACATTAGTGTACATATACACAGTGTGTGTATATACAGTCATGTGGAAAAGAAAGGACAACCTGTTGAATTGTATGGTTTTCTTTATCAGGACATGATACAGCAGATGGTCCTTAGCAGGTCTTAGATGAACAACAACACATGACATATCACACGTGTCATTTTTCATTTAGCAAAAACTAGGTCAAAATGGAAAAACTATGTGTGACAAGCTAAGGACACCCTTACATAACATAGATAAAAACATAGATTATGTGTTAATAACTAGGGATGCACCGATACGATACTGGTATCGGTATAGGGCCCGATACTGAGCTCATGTACTCGTACTCGTTCTCGTTAAAATGCCCCGATACCAAACGCCGATACCACACAGCATGTGATAAGCGCCATATTCAAACAAAGAAACACCGACAACAGAACAACAGACAGCAGAAAGGAGTTAAGGGTGTCTACTACGAAATATAGGTATGTATGCAATGAATATAATGTTAAACATTCAGTATTAACGCCTGTATAGCTGATGTGCGCGAGCTGATAAAACAAGGCACGCTGAGTGGATTGAGCACGCGGCGGCGCAGATGCACGAACTTGTCGAGTGAATATATCTTTCTCACAGACATCACTGGAAAGTTTGTAGTTCGGTCGGATATGTCAAAAACAAGTAAGTAAAACAATACACAAGTTACTTAACGGTAGAGAGAGAGAGAGAGCGCGCGCACTTCTGTTGTGTGATATTTGATGTTCACTCACTTAGCACATGCATCATTTGGATTAAAACTAAATCGTAAAAATAATGTGATAATGTGAGAAATGTTGAAGGTGTCTGAATAAATTTAGGTTTGGCTGTATCTGTTTGATAAATGAAGTTAACCAACTAACATTATACATACCCTTTTGGTTTCTATACCCAATATTTAAAAAATTTACAAATGCAATAAAAGTATCGGTACTCTGTATCGACAAGTACCAAAAATAAAAGTATCGGTATCGGGCGAGTACTGGAAAAAGTTGTATCGGTGCATCCCTATTAATAACACAATAAAAACATAGGAATTAAGAGGATAAGTTATGGTCAGGCACTGCTAATCAAATACCTTTGATTGACCAATCATCAGCAAGTGTGAGCACCTCTATAAAAGCAGAAGTTAACACAATGCCAAAGAGGAAAGACATCAGCAATGATCTCAGAGAAGCAATTGTCAGATCATACACTACTCTGAGAAATTGCAGACAACCCAAGAACTACACCTAAGACTCTACTGGCCTCAGTTAACATGGTAAATGATAAAGTTTGTGACAGTGCAATTAGAAAAAAAACAGACAATATGGCATGTTAGGTATGGTTGCCAGAAGAAAGCCTCCTCTCTCTAAAAAGAACATGGCAGGATAGCTTAGGTTTGCAAAGTTGCATCTGATCAAACCACAATACTTCTAGAACAATGTCCTTTGAACAGCTGTTGGAGGGGTGATGATTATTTTGGACTTTTTTGTAGCCATGGGACCTGGGCACCTCACAGTCATTGAGTCGACCATGAACTCCTCTGTATACCAAAGTATTCCAGAGACAAATGTGAGGCTGATCCGTCCAACAGCTAAAGCTTGGCCAATATTGGGTCGTGCATCAGGACAATGATCCCAAGCACACCAGCAAATCTACAACAGAACGGCTGAAAAAGAAAAGAATCAAGCTATTGCAATAGCCCAGTCAAAGTCCAGACCTCATCCTGACTGAAATGCTGTGGCGAGAGATGTGCATAAACAAATGCCCAAAAACCTCAATAAACTGAAGAAAAGTGGGTCAAAATTCCTCCAGAACGATGTAAGAGACTGATAAAGTCATACAGAAAAGGATTACTTCAAGTAATTGCTGCTAAAAGTGGATCTATAAGTAATTGAATCATAGTGGGTCCTTAGTTTGTCACACATGACCTTTCCATATTGGCTTTAGGTCTGCTAAATAAATAATGACATGGTGTGATATGTCATGTGATGTTGTTCATCTGAGGTTTTATTTTACAAATTTTAAGACCTGCCAAGGACCAGATGATTTTTTATTATTCTGATACAGAAAACCATGGAATTCAATAGGGCATCCTTTATTTTATATATACATTACTATGTATACACTGCATGTACATATATATACTGTATATATATATATAATGTATATATATATATATACAGTGGTGTGAAAAGGTTTTTGCCCCCTTCCTGTTTTTTAAAAATGTTTGCATATTTGTCACACTTAAAAGATTCAGATCATCAAACAAATTTTTATATTACACAAAGATAATGCAAGTAAATACAAAATGCCGTTTTTAAATGATTCTTTATTTTATTAAGGGAAAAAAGCTGTCCAAACCTGCCTGGCCCTACGTGAAAAAGTAATTACCCCCTAAATCTAATAACTGGTTGTGGCACGCTTTGCAGCAACAACTGCAATCAAGTGTTTGTGATAACTGGCAATGAGTCTTTCACATCGCTGTGGAGGAATTTTGGCCGACTCTTCTTTGCAGAATTGTTTCAATTCAGCCACATTGGAGGGTTTTCGAGCATGAATGGACTGTTTAAGCATCTCAATCGGATTTAAGTCCGGACTTTGATTTGGCCACTCCAAAACCTT